GTTTATGCTTGCTAATGTGCAGTAGCACACGCTTGTGCTACTCTGCTTGTAGCTGTCTTAATGTCTTAAAAATCTTAATGTCTTAAAATCTCAGTGTGAAAGGGAACATATGTTGAACACCCATATTCCCTGCCCTCTTCAGAAGATGGTGGAGAATTAAGCCCAAGAGCTCTGCAAGATCTAGATACATCATATTTCTTCCTTGTAAAACTGCTGTACAAGAATGAAACAAGGCATGGAAATATTTTAGGAAACAACAAGTGGAATTTTCTTCCCAGAGATGGAATTTCTCTGGAATTCTCACTGTGACGCTTTCCCATTCACTGTCCTTCAACTTCGTGCATTGAAGAGGAGGAGCTCAGAGGGACAAAAAGCTTCGCCTTTGTCCCCCTCTGCTGCAGCCTGGGCCCTGCAGGACTGGGTCCTTTGTAGTTCCCAGTGTGGCTTCTCCCCTGCTGCTCGCTCTGAGTGCTGCTGTCTAGCCAGTTGTCTTTGCAGTTTTTAGCACTCTGTGTATTGTTAGCTCCACTGGATCTCCTGTATAACGTGAGTTTCCTCTGTTGCTATATTAGAAGAAAAGCCATATAAATAAGAGGTTTGTAGAAACCTGCTCTGTGATTGGGACTCTGTGTAATTGGTGGCGAGACCAATGGTGGTGTAGCTGAAACAGTTTTCAGCTTTTTTGAGCACATATAACTTCTGCAGTGGTAACAAAATCCCATGTGTTCTCATAAAATCTAGTGTATTTTTATGTCTCCTTTTAAGCACATTTGTTCTATTTGTGATGCTGGCCTTAATGTATGTCTCACTTAACACCATTCCGGCATTCGGTTCTTTCATGCCGCTCTCAGGCCTTCAGCAGTTTCATCTCACCTCCCAAAGAAATCCTCCTCCTGGACCTGCAGCACAGAGACCTTCAAAGAGGGAGGGGGAAGAGGTGGTGAGAGCAAAATAAAACAGGACCATCAAGCAACATCAGTCTTGTGACGCCCTTCCTCACAGCGGTCACTTCTCTGTGATGTTGCATCATTTCTAAAAATAGAACTTAGGGTCCTTTGGGAAATGGCACTTGTCTTTTGTTCTGTAAAGTACCCCGTATGTTTTGAGTCTCGCTTAAAAAAGCTGTGTACGTAGAAAAATTCAGGGGGTTTTAAGATGCCGTTTCCTTGTTCTCACGTATAGTCTTGCTTCTTAGTGGTGATAATGGACTTCAGAAGGTCCACATGGCATTGCCCATTGCTCTTCAGAACTAAAATAAAAGGTGAAGGGAGATTGTAGGCAACTGATACACCATCAGACTGTGCAAGGGGGATTTGTACAGGAGCATGTAGTTTTCTCTAGCCAGGGGTGCTTCTTGCCTCCCAGTAGCTTAAATAAACAGAAAAATAATAACATGAGTAATTAAATGCAAAGAAAACAGGCAGGATAGACTAATTGGAAAAGTCTTTTGATGATGAATCAAGGAAAATTACACAGGTAGGAGAGGAAACTACAGCTCAAAGGAGTATCAGTTTGAGTCTCAGTTGCCTTCTTGGGTCAGACTGAGCTCTTCCAGTGCCTCTGATTTTTCCAGAACTGACTCACAAAGACTCTTGAGAAGGAGCAAAATACTAGACCTAAAAGGTTCTATGAAATTTTAGATGAGATTTAATCTTTCAGAGTACTGAAGCAGAGGGAAAATTTTACAATATATGGGAGCCTAGTCTACAAGGAGATAGTAAAAGACTTCACCACCCATGTTTTGTAGAAGCTCAGCTGGCTGTGTGGGCCATCTTCACTACCTCAGGTAGGGTTGTGGCTGTGTTATTTTCTCAGCTGTGGACTCGGGTAAAGGTTCAGCTTCAGCTTCCTGTCTTCTTCTTCAATTTCCAGGCAATTGCAATAAAACAAAAATCTCCACGTGAGTCCACACTCAGAAGGGAGGTACTGGGATGTGAAGTAACGTGACAAAAGGCAGAGGAGAGGGATCAGAATCCACAGCGAGAAGCAGTCTGTATTTGCTCGTAAGTTAAGTTTCTCTTCAGTTGATATTTCACTACTTGAGTAGTTTATTCTGGACAAATCCTGTCTTGTAACTTCTCCAAAATGGTGCAGGAGGTGTGTTATACGCAGGCCTGGATTTTGTCATGCCAGGAGCAGAGGGTGTGTGTGACCATATGGCCACCTCTGCGTCATGATCTGGAGCATATTCGCCACACAGAGCGGCACCAGCGCGGACCGATGCCCACCTGGTAAATCTGTCCCTGAAGTATTTACGAGGGTCATTTTTGTGGTATTTCTTTTCCATCTATGTGCTATAGAGAAACAGTTGACAAACGGTGGTGGTGGGTGTAATGCTGATGAAAAAAGGCTCAGAAACTGTTTTGTGGGAACCTGTTCAGTGAAATCCCTGGAGTTACTGAGAATTTCCTCCTCCCTTCCATTGGAATGAACTTGAAGGAATTGCATCGTTAGTAGTATATCCTCTTATTTATGTATTATAATTTTTGAGGTGCTGCATCATGTCCTTAGCCTGTTGAAGAATATAAGTAAACCTTGATTGCAGTTGTTTTAATTATATTCAAGATGCATTTTTCAGACGCAGAGAGGTGCAGCAGGTCTCAGTTCCCTCTACAGAAACTACACGTATTTCAGGGCAAACTCACACCTCACCTTCCTCAGGGGGAAGGCCGGGGGCTTTGGAAGCACAGTGGATGGCTGTCAAATCTCCTACCCTGTATCACTGTCATCCGTAAAACAGTGAGGGCCATGAGCAGGGGGGGGAAACGTGTCAGATTTGAGGAGGCCAACACAGAGCCGTCACCCGTGGGGGAGCATCAGGGAAAGGTGCCAGTGGGGAGAGTGCAGCAGGCCCGAGAGCAAGGGCAGCCAGCAGGGTACCAGGGTGAGGTGCCGAAGGGGCGGCAGCACGGAGGGGGCCTTGAGGAGACCGGGCCCGGGCGGGAGGCGGAGGAAGACCCTTCCCGGGCGGCGGGGAGGGGCGCGGGGTGCCGCGGCCCGGCGGCCATTTTGAGGAGGACAATCCCCGCCGCGCGGCAGGGCCCGCTGCGCCCGGCG